AGGAGGGTGTCAGATCCACTGGAACTGTGAATTCCAGATGGTTGTTAGTTGCCATATAGGTACTGAGAACTCAACCCTGATCTTCTTTAGGAGTGTCAGCTATCTTAAACACTGAGCCATCTCTCCAGTCTCAGGATCATACTTTTTTTTTTTTTTCTCTTGTTGGGGTGGTAAATGCCTCCCACATAAAATTGAACTCTTATGTCAGGATCTATACTGTACATTGTGATAGAATTACTATTTGGGGTCTGTAGCTAACTGATATTAACATTGCATAATCGGAGCCTGTTTGTTCTTTTTAAGATCTTTTGAGACAGGGTTTCCCTGTGTAGCTGTAGCAGTCCTGAAACTTTGTAGAACCACCTGCTTCTGCCTCCTGAGTGCTGAGATTCAGTAGGCTGGACAAGTGTTCATAAGTTATATAAGTTCTGTTAGATGGCAGACACAGACAGTTAGATAGACTGGCATAAATAAACTATAAGTGCAGGGCCAAAATAATTTATTGGGTTTGTTGTTTTTTTGTTTGTTTGTTTGTTTGTTTTTAGTTATATTAGTTAACCTCAACATTGTAGAACTGTTTTCCAAGTTTCAACCTATGTACTAACTGGGGAATAAGGCATTAGAGATCAAAGCTGGAGTTCTTTTCTTTTTTTTTTGAACTTTATTTATTTTATATGTCTTTCACATTGTACATCTTGATCCCATTCATTTTCCCATTCCTTTGCATCTGCCCTTTGCCCCTGCAAACTCCCCAAAATTAAAACAAAATTTAAGACAAAAAAGGAAAAGATTCAAAATCTCATCATGTAAGCTCAGTGTGGCACATAACACAGTAAGTCATGGTTAGAGGCTTCTGGTCTTTTTTTTTTTTTTCATTGATATTTATTGAGCTCTACATTTTTCTCTGCTCCCCTCCATGCCTCTTCCCTCCCCCAAGGTCCCCATGCTCCCAATTTACTCAGGAGATCTTGTCTTTTTCTACTTCTTATGTAGATCAGATCTATGTAAGTCTCTCTTAGTGTCCTCATTGTTGTCTACTTTCTCTGGGTTTGTGGTTTGTAAGAGCCTCTGGTTTCTACTACACTAATGATACTGGGCCCTTACTGGGATTCTTCTTGGATATCCTGTTGTTGCCCTGTGTTATGAAGATCTGTGGGTCAGGCACCTTCAAATGCTCCAGCAGATCATAGATGGGGTGGATATTGGGGCGGGCCAAGTCGTAACCCTGGTTCTGGGCCTGGGCAGTGCAGGGTTGGTCAGGCAGTCAGTTCTCCTCTGTCCTCCCCACCAGGGTGAGCTCTTCAGCACTGGCATGTGCCCGCCCCCCATTCACCCCTTGTAGCAATCAGCAAGGGGTGAGGCTAGTTCTCCTGCATTAGCATGCTCAGGTGAGGTACAAGTGACAGCCCTCCCACTTCCATGACCCCAAGGGGGGGGAGCATCATTCCTCCACCCATGCCACTACATGTCAGATGGGTAATGGGGATGCCCCCTACTCCAACACCGGGGCTGGGTCACCCATACCTTCAACAGGACCCAGAACTGGACTTCTAAAGTGATGTCTTAGATAAAGCCAAGGTACATGAGAGAACTAGATTTCAAGAAAGGTGCTTCCCCAACATCTCAAATACCAGTTTAAATCAGTGGTTTTCAACTTTCTTAATGCTATGACCCTTTAATACAGTTCTTACCACAAACCATAAAGTTACTTCCATTGCTACCTCATAACTATAATTTTGTTGCTGTTATGAATCGAATGGATCATAATTAAATATTTTTGGAGATAGAGGTTGTGACCCACAGGTTGAGAACCACTGTTTTAAATGTACTTACTTTACCCAGGTTTTTGGGGATGGAGGTGAAAATGAGCAATTTCCCCCCTTTCTGTTGTCCTGGTTCTGTGACATTACTGTGTCTGGATGATGACTGCTGACTGCCTTTCCTCTTCTCAGCATTCGCCTGTTCTTGTTGCCCCGCCTATACTTCCTGCATGGCTACTGGCCAATCAGCGTTTTATTAAAATACAAGTAACAAATCTTTAGGGGATATAAGACCATTGTCCCACAGCCAAAAAATACCCAGGTTGTTGTGCTTTTGTTTATTTGCTTGTTTTTAGGCTTTTTTTTTCCCAGAATTGGATTGTCTTTTGTTTTATCTTGTGTTTTTTTTTTAGATTTATTTTTTTTAATAATTTTATTCATTATGTATACAGTGTTCTGCAGGCCAGAAGAGGGCCTCAGATCTTACTACAGATGGTTGTGAGCCACCATGTGGTTGCTGGGAATTAAACTCAGGACCTCTAGAACAGCAGGCAGTGCTCTTAACCGCTGAGCCATCTCTCCAGCTCCTTAAGATTTATTTTTAATATGTATGTGGGGATTATATGTACACATGAGTGCAGGTACTGGCAGAGGCCTGGAACTGGAATTGCAGGTGGTTGTGAGCTGCTTGAGGTGGGTCATGGGATTTGAACTCAGGTCCTTTGGAAAAGCAAGACATACTATAATCTGCTGAGCCATCTCTCTAGCTCCCCTGTATTTTCCCATAAAAACCATTTTAAGTATAATTATATATATATGCCTTCATTAATCTTTTAAAGAATAAATTCAACCTTTAATTGCATGGCCTGAACATTATTTTAGTGGAAAATAATAGAATGCAGTTTTTATTCTGGTAAACAAATTGGAAAAATACAAAGATGGTTGACTTGGCAGGGTCTTAGGAGTTGAACTCAGGCTTGTACATGCTGAGAATGCACAGTACCACTAAGCTGTGTCCTCTCCCTCTGACTTCACCATGTTTGGATGTTCTAAACATTCTGTTAATTTGCCTGCAGTTTTCTTGTGTTGTATTACTAACATAGGTCTTAATCAGTAAAATAAAAATCTGAAAATTTTCAGTAGTTTGTGATTTTTTTATGATTAATTTTACAAAAGTTGGGGGAAAAGAAAGGTGGTTGAAACTTTTTTTCCCCCTAAATTGTGATGATTCTTATCTGAACCTCAGTAAGCCAGTTAGGGAGGATACAAGGAAAGAAAACTAAAGAAATAGGATTTGGTGGTTATGGGTAGAATCCTCTCTCTCTCTCTCTCTCTCTCTCTCTCTCTCTCTCTCTCTCACACACACACACACACACACACACACACACACGCACACACACACGTTTAGTTACTTAAATTCTGAAAGGATAAGAGGTTTTAAATGGAGTATCATTTAGCACTCTGATCAAGTAGTGAATGGTTGATCATACACTTACTAAGTACATTTAATGCAAGAACAAAGTGAATTTAGAAATAGTAAACCTTGACTTTTTGTCAGTTTCATCACTATTTTGTATGTGTGAAGCAACTGTAAAGTGTAATATGAAGGAGGAAAGTACAAAAGAGAACAGCTGCAGGCACCATTTTTTTCTCAATCCAAAACTTTTTAGATATTCTGTCTCCAGATAAACTAGGCCTGGTTGATGAGTGGATAGGAAGAATTTTATTTTTAAAATGTGGAAAGAACAGAGGAGATAGAAATAGTGGATGAACGTAATGACACAAGCTTATAGTCTGAGCTGATCAAGAGACTAAGGTAGGAGAATCATTATTTTTTTAAAGACACTGCTTGACTTCATTTTTTAAATTATGTATACAGTGTTCAGCAGGCATATATGCCTGTACACCAGAAGAGGGCATCAAATCTAGATGGTTGTGAGCCACCATGTGGTTGGTGGGAATTGAACTTGGGACCTCTGGAAGAGCAGCCATTGTTCTTAACCTCTGAGCCATCTCTCCAGCCTAGAGAATCATAATTTTGATGTCTGCTTGTGTTACATAGTGAGAACACTGTCTTAAAACAACAGAAAAACAGGAAAGATGGGAAATAGAAGAAAATTGAGGCTTCTGAAGGTGACAACCATTTTTTGTCTTGACACTTGTCACATTGTATTGAGAGCCTTATTTGCTTATTTTAAAGTATTCTATATCAAACATTATTAACCCATATCAAATTATTAACACCATATCAAACATTATTAACCCCAGATTATCTGAGGATTTCAGAGACTCCAAACAAAATAATGGGACAGAAATATCTGTTAACCTTATTGACATCAATACATGTTATTTATTTTTATTGACATACCATTGTGCTATGTAAATATGCACATTTGTTACTTGTTTATCAAAATATTTTTAGTTAGATGAAAGTGGTTTGCTTGTTATGTATTATATACATGTGCCACATTAACATGGTTCCATAAAATTTACAATTAATATAATTTTAGAAATTAATATCTGGCATCACACTGCTGTTTTTGCTGCCTTATGCTCTCTGTAAATTGTTAGTTTGGGTTTTTGGGGCGGTAAGTTGAGGGGGTGGGTTTTCAGACAGGGTTTCTCTGTGTGGCCCTGACTGTTCGAGAATTCACTCTATAGACCATGCTGGCCTCCTACCATTACCTCCTGAGTGCTGGGATTAAAGGTGTATCAGAGCAGCCCAAATTGTTGGATTGTTATTGCTTCCCAGTCTTCACTCTTCGTATTATCTTGTCTGTCTTATAAAAACAAATCAACCAACCAAAAAGTCTATTTGGCTAGGAGGGTATAGCTCTGTACTTCCCAGCACGTTTGAGACTTGGACTGACCTCTTCTACCACCAAAAATAAATCACTCAAAACGGTGTGTTTCTCAAGCTGCAAGTTATATTTGCAGTTTTTGTTGCTCTCATTGTTTTGTTTGTATATGTGAAGTAACTGTATTGCCAAGGTGAGCATGTAGAAGTCAGAGGATAGCCTTCAAGATAGGTTCCTTTCCACAGTGGGTTCCTGGACCAAAGTCAAGTTGTCAGGCTCTTGGAGAGAACACATTTACCTGCTGAGCCATCATCTGGCCAGCCCCAAATTACATTTTGTTCCTTAACTGATGGTGTACATGCAACTGAGAAAATAAGCATATGTATATGAAGAATATCTAATTTTTCTGTTTTGCAATAATAGTTTTTTTCCTGTTTTATAGGTTCTCTTCTTCTAGAGTCCAAGATAAATCCTAACACTGCATATCAGAAACAACAGGTAAAAAAAAAAAACAAAAAGTAAAGCTGTTGTGCATTATGCATTATTTTTTTAGCTTGGTGATTAAATAAATTTACCATTGATTTTTTTTTTTTTTACACTAAGAAAATCAGAACAGGTTATAACATTTCGCCAGTCTGATTCCTGGAAAATATTTTATTACATGGGGGGGGGGGTCAGCCTGCCCATGGAGGTCAGAGAACAATTTGAGAGAGTTGATTCTCTCCGCAGTGTGGATTCTGGGCCTCACACTTGGGTTGTCAAGCTTGATGGCAGCCATATTTACATCCTGAGCCATTTTTGCATCCCCAGTCTAATTTTAAAATAAGAGCTCTACCAGTCTGTATATGGTTAAAAGGGTTTGGTGGTTTGTTTGTTTTTTTTTTTAATTTATGTGTATACAAGGATTTTACCTGTATATATGTCTGTGTACCACATGCATTACTGGTGTCCTCAGGAGTTGGGTGTCAGTCAGAAGAGGATATCAATCCCCCTGAACTGGAGTTAGGAGTGGTTGTTAGCACCCATGTGTGCTGGGAACTGAATCCGGGTCCTCTGCAAGAGCAACAAGTGCTTATCCACTTGAGTCATTTCTCCAGCCTTGTTTTTTTGTTTTGGGTTGTTGTTGTTTTTATTGTTTGTTTGTTTGATGGTAATGAATTCCAGGCCTCTTACAGGCTGACAAACATATACTCACTTAACTGTATTGTCAGCCACTATTTTATTTATGTGTATTTGAGTGTGTGTTTGCATGTTGCAAGTATGCAGGTACCTGCAGAGCCAGAAGAAAGTGTTGGATTCCTTGGAGTTACAGGAGTTTATGAGATGCCTGACATGGTTGCTGAGATCTGAACTGGGTTCTTCAGGAATCAGTTCACTTGTTCTATCTCCCCAGTCCTCAGCCACAATTTTAAATCAAAAATTAAAGAAGCTGTCTTAATCTGAGTTCATATTTCAGATATTCTAGCAACACATGTTTCTCTAAAATTAAAGTAGCAGTTTTACCAGAAGGAAAAAGTGACCATTGCTGTAATAATCAACTACTAACTCGGCCAAGTGGTTGAAGTTCCTTTCTGTCCTATCAGAGATGCTTCTGCAGAAAGAATGAAGTGTTTTGCATACACAAATAAAATGTGCTCCACAAAGCCATTGAAATAAAGAAATCTCTTTATTGCCCTGAAAGTACAAGTATAAAAAATTTATATCCTTGAGTATTAAAATAAAGCTAGAAGGAAGTTGGTATTGGTAGGGGCTGGGTGTGGTAGTGCATGTTTGTTTGTGATCTCAACACTTGCAGGGTAGAAGATAAAAGGATCAGAAGCCTTAGCTATAAAGTCTGAGGCCTTGCCAAAGAAAAACAAAACAGGCAAATATAACTGCTGTGGGGCATAGAACAAATATGCTGGTGTTACATACCTGTAATGCAGTACTCAGGACTGAGGCAGGCAAGCCTAGGCAGGTACATTCCTGCTTCAAACGTAAAACAACATGAATTTTTATAATGCAACATGTTGGGGAGTGCAGGTGGGTGCTTTGGAGAGTTCAGGGGGCAGCAACCATCGAAGGAAAAACATCCATTAGCCCCAGTCCCACTTTTAGACTGGAAACTTGTAGAAATGTTCCTGAGGAACATGAGAAGGATGTGGGGACATGTTAAGAACTGTGGGTTTAGTGAGACTTGCAAATCCCTCCCTCCAGCAGGTTGGAACAACTACATGCAGGAGGCAGAAATTACCCAGCACCAGCACTCACTCGAATCCGGTCCTTCTGGATCTAAACCTTCAGGGCTTTTAGAGTTTAGGGTAGCTCCATGGATCCCTGGGGAGAGCTCAGCCTCTGGTTAGAGGCTGGCCCAGAATATAGAACTTTTTAGTCCAGGCTATGGTAATGGGGGCCGGGAACTCTCTCTGCATCCAGGCCACAGGAGAGGCTGGGCTTATGAGGAAGACCTCCCAGAGGCTAGGGAGAGGGAGCCCATTACTCAAGCCTTTCTATATGGAAGTGTATCTGGTAGACTCTTGCTCCACGGGTAAGACAGGAATTCCAGCTTAGTTCCAGAAACTAGTCAGTGCTCCTTTCTGGTGCTCTGTCAGGACTGCTGTTTGGTGTATCCTTATGAACCCACATTTAGTGCTCCTTCAGGTTGAGCCTAGCAGCTAAAACCACTCAAGCTAGCTTCAAACTCAAGGCCCCTAAGTATTGATTAGAGGTATGGCTCATTCATGCCTGGCTTATTCAAGCCAGTAATTTCAGAGGCTAAATAAGCACAAGTAAAGAACAGTTGTTGCCAACTGAGGGAAGGAATGGATTTTATTTATTGATCCATTTTGTGACTCCTTTGGTGGGCATTTTAATGATACTATAAAATACAGTGGCAGCTGGAAAGAAAGCTCAGCTAAGAATGCTGGCTACTCTTCCAAGGGACCTGGATTTGAATCCCAGCTTCTATATGGCTACTCAAAACCATCTGTCTATAACTCCAGCTCCAGGGAATCCAAAGCCCTCTTCTGACCTCCGTAGGTGTTGCATACATGCAAAGAAAACACCAAAACATATAAGCCTTTTTAAAAATTGTAATGTGTGAAGATGGTCTTGGTGCAATGGTTTGTATTTTCCTTTTAGAATATAAGTATTATGTATGCCTTTTACAGTGTTTTTCATATATTGTCCAAACTTCTTTTTTTTTAAAACATAGTTTCATTTATGTTGATTTGGCAGAATAAAGTATAACAAAGCTCTAATAATTACCAGTAGGAAGTGTTGGAAATGTTAAAAATGATGTTCTCAATTCCTGTTGCCTTGTTGCTTTATTCATTTGCTATATCTTAAAGAGTTTGTGATAACACATGTAGTCATTCAAACTTTTTTTTTTTAACCCAAAGGACACTCTGATTGTGTGGTCTGAAGCAGAAAATTATGACTTGGCCCTTAGCTTTCAAGAAAAAGCTGGATGTGATGAAATTTGGGAGAAAATATGTCAGGTAATTTTAAGAATAGAGAAACAACACACTCTTAATAATTTTTCACTCAGCATACAAAAATAATGGGTTTCATAATGATACTTAAATACAAATAACATTGTTATCATTGTTCATACCCCCTTTACTTTCCTCGTCTTTCCTCCCCTGGTTCCCTTTTTCTTCAAGTAGTTTCGCTTTTGTCATGTTTTAAGTCAAGATTCTCTCTATGAAAGCATGTAGTTCTCTTTCTTTTCTGTCACCTAACTCTTGGTTCCCCCTTAAGATCTTCTCCTTCCAGGATACACTTATCCAAACCATAGCAGCTCCTGTGCTGAGGACAAACTGTGGGACAAAGGGGAGTTTACCCACTTGAGAGATGCTAGGCAGCGAGAGGCAAGCTAGGATCAGTGGATTGTGGGGGCAGAGACAGCACAGTCTACAGATGATCAGACATGGGGCAGAAGGCAAGGGGGGAGCCAAGGGCGACTCATGACTCTGGTTTTGGCCTGAGCAAAAGGAAGCATAGAGTTGTCAACTGAGGTGGGAACAGCTACAAGAAGAACAGTCCTACATGACATGATGGCACATACTTTTAATCCCAGCTCTCTGGAAGGCAGAGGCAGGCAGGGCTATACAGAGAAACTCTGTCTCAAAAAGGGGGGGGGGATACATAGATAAATAAATAAAGACCTTATTCTACTTTCATGTCTTGTTTAATTCTAATCTGTGTGTAAGAAGACGCGTACCCTAGTCTATTTAACCTAATGATGTCTATTTCCATTCGTTTTCCTGCAAATGACATTTTTTATAACTGAGTAAAACTCCATTATGTTGATGCACTTTGTCCTAATTAACTTTTCTTAATTATAGGGCTTGTAACACGTGGGTCTTGCTTGTTGGGGTTTCTGTCCTCCCCAGTTCTGCCTGGTTCCCACAGTTGTTATGCCCCAAAGAAGTCAGAGGACTATATTAATAATAAACTGATTGGCCCATTAGTTCAGGCTTCATATTAGCTCTTATAACTTATATTAACCCATTATTCTTATGTATGTTAGCCACATGGCTCGGTACCTTTTTCAGCAGGGTAGGTCACGTCCTGCTTCTTCGGTGTCTGGACAGTACTGCAGAAAGAGCTTCCTTCTTCTCAGAATATTCCTATTCTCATTGCCCCACCTCTACTTCCTGTCTGGTTTTCCCGCCTACTTTCTGCCTGGTTACCGGCCAATCAGTGTTTATTTAAAATATAATTGACAGAATATAGAATTGTCCCACACCAGGACTATTACTCAGCATTTACAACAGACCATTGAATCCACTTTGGTCCAAAGCTAGTTTGCCTTTGGGATCAATTGACATTAGATGTTTTTTCTTTTTGTCTTAGAATTATGTGTATTCTTTATGACCATGGCATTATTATATTTGATATTCATTTGAATTTTACTTAAATATTGATGAGCTTGGTACTAGTCAATATATGGCCCTAGAATGTTAATGTGGAGTTTTCCTGCTTAGAAAAGATGGCCATGGACAGAAGACTGTCTGATGTATTTGGTCCTCTGTCTTGTAGGTCTTGAAGTGAAGTTGTACCTGACACTTGTACTTGAGGATAGCTTTTACTAAGTTCTTCAACTTTAGATTAGTTTGCATAAACATGAAAATGTCATTTGGAGAGTTACAGCATAGTAGACAGTTGTTTCAGGTTTGAGAAAAGAGTTAATGTCTCTTTCATTTAAGGCTATTTAGATTTACTGTTTGAATTTTGTCAGCTACCACAGAATCTTTTTTTTTTTTATAGGTTCAAGGGAAGGACCCTTCAGTGGACATCACTCAGGACCTGGTAGATGAATCAGAAGAGGAGCGATTTGATGATATGTCCTCACCAGGTTTAGAATTGCCATCTTGTGAATTAAGTCGACTGGAGGAAATCGCAGAGCTTGTGGCATCATCTTTACCTTCCCCCCTCCGTCGTGAGAAACTCGCACTAGCACTGGAAAATGAGGGTTATATTAAAAAGCTTTTAGAGCTTTTTCATGTGTGTGAAGATTTGGAAAACATTGAAGGACTGCACCACTTATATGAAATTATCAAAGGGATCTTCCTCTTGAACCGAACTGCTCTTTTTGAGGTTATGTTCTCTGAGGAATGTATAATGGACGTCATTGGATGCTTGGAATATGACCCAACTTTATCACAACCACGAAAACATAGGGAATTTTTAACAAAAACAGCCAAGTTTAAAGAAGTGATTCCGATATCAGATCCTGAGCTGAAACAAAAAATTCATCAGACATACAGAGTTCAGTATATACAAGATATGGTTCTCCCCACCCCTTCAGTCTTTGAAGAAAACATGTTATCAACACTTCACTCTTTCATCTTTTTCAACAAGGTAGAAATTGTTGGTATGTTACAGGTAAGTTCGGTCATTCTCAGTTCCCTATCTCCTATCCATCCATCCCCCAACTTTAAAAAGGTGCCGCAAAAATAATAATTTCTTTTACATCCTTACATTTAAACTTAATCTTGTGATATGATGGTAAATATTTTAATACTAATAAGAATGTGCTGTTCTTCTAGAGAACTGGCAATTGGGCCTATTACCCACATCAGGTACCTGTGGCCACATCTGTATGTGTCCCTTCCAAAAGTATGTTTTTGAAGTAGTTGAGAATATTTGGGCTTTACTTACTTAATAGCTGCTAGGTTGTTATAGGAAACTTGAATTTACCATCTGAGGAATCATATTAATACTATAGGATACTATGAAGTGTCTGAAGATCAAGTGAAACCATATATAGGACCTTTAAAAAAAATGTCTCTTAATGCTTGATTTGAATGTGACCTATGTTACATAGTATTTGACAAAACCTTAGTCTATTCTAACTGAAATAGATTTTTCTCTGTTTTGTGTGGTATATCTGCGTAAGTGTTCAGGTATAAACACGTTAGTGTACATGAAAGCCAGTGGAGGGCACTAGGTGTCCTGTTACTTGCTGCCTCATTCGTTTGAGGCAGAACCTTCTCTGGACCTATCTGTTGCTATGTGTCCTTGTTTCCCAGCCCGACTCAGTGGTTGCTGATGGTGTATACAGGACCATGCCTAGCTTGTTGTCTAGGTACTGGGATCTGAACTGTTCTTGCACAGTAAGCTCTCTTAAACACTAAACTTTCTCTCTCCCCTATAGATAGAATTTCGCTACCACCCTTTTACATGTACACATACAAAATTCCTCTGTAATGCTGTTAAATACTGTGATACTAATCTGGGGTGTATGTTGAAATTGGATGCTGTTAGTTTTGAAAAAAGTAGAAAACATCAGAATCGTATTATTTATTCCTATTTTACATTTTAGAAGAAATAATGAGCATTATAATTGTGTCGTATAGAAAATGTTTCCTAAACACCTATCATAGTTAATATAAAACTTACTACATAGGAACAGCAAGATGACTCAGTGCTAGGAGGAGAGAACTAACTTCCAGAAAGTTATTTTCTGGCCTTCATATGTGTTCTGTGGCACATTGCTCCCCTCATTTCTAATACATAAATAAATGTAATTTCTTAGAAACTTAGACTGTAGTCTGCATGAATTTACATTTAGCTGGAGTAGTATTGAATGTACTCCTACCTAAGCAAATAAATTATTAACAAAATCTTGATGAAAATGTATTTTTAGGTAAATAAAAATATAATATAAAAAAATTTTGATGAGGGCCTGGAGAGATGCTCTTCCAGAGGACCTGTTCAATTCCCAGCAACCACATGGCAGCTCATAATTGTCTGTAGCTCCGTTCCCCAGGATCTGACATCTTTATCCCAGTGCACATAAAATATAGTTAAGCAACAACAACAAAAAATCTTGATGACAAATTATAATGAAGAAAATTCATGGGTAACAGGGAGGATCTATATGGCTTGTTACTTACCCAGAAAAATAAATATCCTGTGATAGAATCCTTTGGGGCAGCCGACACAGCTTTAATCCCAGCACTCAGGAGACAGAGGCAGGTGAATCTCTGTAAGTTGAGGCTAGCCTGGTCTACAAGAGTTGGTTCCAGGACAGGCTCAAAAACTACAGAGAAACCCTGTCTTGGAAAACCAGAAGAAGAAAAAAGATCCTTTGGGGCCTTTTCAAAATTAATGTGTTAATTATTACTGTGTTAAATAATTATTTCAAAATAATTTAATGTGTTAAGGAATATGTTTGTAATGGGTATCTTCAAATAATAGATATTTCTTTCATTTTCTAAGGTTTTTGTTGTTGTTTCAAGACAGGGTTTCTCTGTGTTTACCTGGCTGCCCTGGAACTCACTCTGTAGACCACTGACATTGAACTCACAGAAATCCACTTACCTCTGCCTTCCAAGTGCTGAAATTAAAGGCCACTACCACCTGGCCATTTTCTATATCTTTGGAGCTCAAAGAATGTGTCATTTTTATCTTTACTTGAAGAGAGGTTATAGAACTTTAATATCTATCATTAGCTCATGTAAACCGAGCACGGCAAACACTGACTACATTGTATGTGTGTTTGACCATTAGAGACAGGATCTCACTGCAGCCCATGTGGGCCTCTCTCCCCACCCCTCTCTTTTTGCCTCCCCATTGCCGTGATTTTAAGCATTTGCCACTAGGCCAGACATGTATGCTTGAGTTTATTAAGTTTCATTGTAACATAGCTGTATTTGATTACATACTGTCTGCCTGCTCACCTGCAGCAGTAGGGTATGATAAACCACTGGCTTGCAGGGTGTGAAACACTTAACTTCCTGGCTCTAAAGTGGGGTTTGGAAAAAGAGTTTTGTCAAAACACAAAGGTAATCTTTCTGATAGAAGTCTCAGTTTGTCTTTGTTTTGTTTTGAGACAAGGTCTCGCTTACTATGTAGACCAGGCTGGCCTGGAACTCACGGAGATACACCTGCCTCCACCTTCCTAGTACTGGGACTAAAAGTGTATACTCCCTGTGTTTGGCTGTGCATGTGTGTCTGTGTGTATGCACGCATGTGTGTACATATATATTTTTATTCTTTTTTAAAAGAAATTTGACATATTTTGTCAAACTAGTTTATGATATGCTGAAATTGTATTTTATACAATCTTATCCGTAATCTAATTAAATGTGTCGTTTATTTCATAGGAGGATGAAAAATTTCTGACAGATTTGTTTGCACAACTAACAGATGAAGCAACAGATGAGGAAAAAAGACAAGAATTGGTAAGAAATCAAATAATAGAAGGGCAGAGAAGTAAAACAAACATTTACACTCAATACTTTTCTAATTTGAGATTAGCCTTTTAATGCTTGTCTTCTTTCCTGATTTCAGGTTAACTTTTTAAAAGAATTTTGTGCATTTTCTCAAACGCTACAACCCCAAAACAGAGATGCTTTTTTCAAGACTTTGTCAAACATGGGCATATTACCAGCTTTAGAAGTCATCCTTGTAAGTTTGTTTCTCTTATTCTGAACTACCCATGTGAGCCCATATCAAAAATTGGATGTGATGTTGTACAATTTTATTGTCTGAAATCAAATCATTTTTCCCTGTCCTCCCTTTCCAGGCAGCCACTTGCACATTTGCACATATTCATTCATTCATTCATTCTCTCTCTCTCTCTCTCTCTCTCTCTCTCTCTCTCTCTCTCTCTCGTTAACGGCCTCTTTTTCTTTATTACTTACATACATAAATACAGCAGACTTTATGTAATAGGTAGCATATTTGTGTGTAACCAATATTGAATACTAGCTGTGTATAGCATAAAGCTAAAGAAGTGATATGAGCCCAGTATTAGATTAGAGTCCTCCTCATGTTTAATTAACAAAACTGTTTGGTTAAAATAATTTGTGCAGCTATGCAGTGATGGCACATGCCTTTAATCTCAGGTAGAGGCAGAGAAATTTCTATGAATTTGAGACTAACCACGAAGAATCCCAGGCCATTGAGAAATATGTTAGACCTTGTCATACATCCACACATGCATACATATAGTAATTTATCACATCTTTAATGATTAGCTTTTCAGCCTATCAAATGTAATGTTAAAATAACTGAGAGTGATTCTTGCCTTTAATCCAAGCATTCCTGACTTCTTTTTCTTTTATTGTTTTTTAATTTAAAAAATGTCACCCAGGACTAATCAAAGAAATCCGGTAGGGCGGTGATGGCTCATGGCCTTTAATCTCAGCACTTGTGAGGCAGAGGCAGGCAGATTTCTGTGAGTTCGAGGCCAGTTTGATCTACAAAAGCTAGTTCCAGATCATATAGGACTATTATATAAGAGAAACCCTGTCTCTCCCATCTTTAAATACATACATACATACATACATACATACATACACACACACATACACACACACATACATACGTGTATGCATACATGTATATATAATATTAGCATGTTGACATAATTATGGTATTACTATTCCATTATAATTTTTATTTTATATATGCTTATTAATCCCAGCACTAGAGAGGCAAAGGGAGGTGGATGGATCTCTGAGTTCCAGGTCAGCCAGAGCTATTACACAGAGAAACCCTGTCTCAAAATATATATATATCTTAAGGAGGCTGGGAAATAGGTCAGCTGGTACTTCTCTAAGATTTGTTCTTTCACATTAATATGTATGTTCCCTTCTTCCATAAAGTTTGTGTGTGAATGTATACATATGGTCACACAAGCCACTGTGCATGTGGAGGTCATTGCATTATGTGGGCATCAATCCTTGCCTTCCATTCTGGTTGAGAGAGAGTCTCTTACTTTGTGTTATATACAACATGCTGGCTAGGTTAGGTGCTTTCATGAATTCTCATGTCTTCATCTCTCATCTTGGCCATAGAAAAGTACTGGGGTTACAACCCTGGACACTATCATCCCTGACTTTACATGGGGTCTTGAGATTTAAACTCGGGTTTTTAGGCTTTCTTTGCAGGTGCTCTATCCATTGAGCAATCTTCCTAGCCCTTAGATGATTTATTACAATTCTGACAATTTAATACACTATCCCCAATCCTGTTTATAATCTCTTCCCACTCTTGCTGAATCCCCCTGTCTAAATCATCCCTTTTTTCTTTTTCTTTTTCTTTTTTTTTTTTTTCCTTCTTCTCTGTGTAGCTCTGGCTGTCTTGGAACTAACTCTGGGTAGATCAGGTAAGCCTCAAACTCAGATCCGCCTCACCTGCCTCTGCCTCCAGAGTGCCGGAATTAAAGGTGTGTACCACCACTGAGCTGCTGTCATCCCTATCTTGCTTTCATGGCTTCCTTCCTTCCTTCCTTCCTTCCTTCCTTCCTTCCTTCCTTCCTTCCTTCCTTCCTTCCTTCGTTTTTAATTAGGATTGCTTATATAAGTCAGTGTGGATAAGGAGTTGCACCAAAAAAAATAGCTCTCCCCAGCAACCATTTAAATGTTTCTTTTATGTTGCAGTGCTTTGTGACAATTTCTTTTGTCAGGGTTTAGGTAACTTCATTGATAAAGTTTTATATTTTTACGATTGTGAGAGAATGGTACTTTTCCTTTGCAGGGCATGGATGATACACAGGTGCGAAGTGCTGCTACTGATATATTCTCATACTTGGTTGAATATAATCCATCCATGGTACGAGAGTTTGTCATGCAGGAGGCACAACAGAATGATGATGTAAGTAAGAAGTTAACAGAGCAAAAAATAACCAGCAAGGTAAATATTATTTACACTAATAGTAAGTATTTATGCATAGGAGGCTATAGCTGGGGTTATATATTTTTAAGATTTAAACTACTACTCTTTGGGAAGTGTAGCCATAGTGTCAAATGTCTCATTCTTCCCCTTAATTTACTCCTGCCTTAATTTATAAATTTATTGTATTTGACCTCAACTTTTTAAATTATGAAGCTGACTTGGCTATATTGTCTTATTTAAACCCTTAAATCAATTGAATATTCTGTATGTGGAACTGTGAGTAATTTTCATTGGAAAGCACACTACTAGGGGTGGATTCTCAGAATCATCAAGACTAAAGAAGTAAAGTAAAATACATCTCCCTGAAATGTATTAGGGGAGTGTTTCTTTTTAGCAATAAAAACAACTTATTGTCTTGTACACTCATAAGCTATGGTAGTATTTAATCAGATAATAAGATAGGTAAATTACCTTTAAAAATATTTTAGACTGTCTTTGTAGGGTAGATTGAATTTTGTGGTACATAATGTATGTCAAAGCTCTGGATGTTTGTGCTATTCTACTTCATTTATTAAACTAATGGTTCTGTTTTTTTCTCCTTCCAAATTTTTGGAAGCTATTTTTTGCTTAAGAATAAATTAAGCTATCTTGAATTCCTTCAGAAGAAATTTATGTCTCCTTTGGGGGAAGGGAGGTTGTAGAATTTCAGCTTGCAGTATTTCTTAGAAAATCAACCACAGCTTTTGTTACTTTTAAAAAACCTATCCCATCAGTATGAAGTTGAATGCCTAGTAATGTCTATATTTGTGGTTTGTTTTTAAAATTATAGTGCTAGACTACATGCAAAAATGTACCATGAATTATTGAATCATAATCACATTTTTCTTCTGTGAAATAGTCCTATCTTGACTATCAAGAACCAGAGTATCTTGAGTAATTAGAACTAAAAGCTGTTCTTGTAGGCCCTGTAACCACTGGGTGAGCAGACATGGCTGTGCATCTTCACATTCCATAAACATGCATTAGGCTTCTGGATTTCACTTGCCAATCATTTCCATATAGTGTCTGCATTTTCTTTGTCCTTGTCTGTCTTAACCACTGCATATATAGGCAAGTGGGAGGAGCTTGCTTACTGTATCCCTCAGTTTTTATTTATCCTCTGAACCAAGAACACCCACCTTAAAAGGTCCTTTGAAAAAATCAGAATTTGATTTTCTTTGACATTAAGAATCTACATAATATACTTACTGTTCTGTACACTCCAGTCTCACTTTACTCTGTTATGTCCACAAATGGAAAATTGCTACCGTTTCAAAAAAATGATAATAAAAAACAAACTAAAAGTAAATGCAATGAAGGCAAATCAGTTTTATAAATTCTAAGTATTCTTATTCTGGAGCCATAAATGGTAAAGTCCGTGAGCTTTCTGCAGATGTTAGATGAATTATTAGAGAAGCAAAACATGTTTTAACACCAAACATGACCTTTGTGATTTTTTTTTTCCCCTTTAATCAGACAAGTTTAAAGATAATGGAAAAGGCCAGAGAGGTAGTAGCACATGCCTGTAATCTCAGCACTTGGGGAGACAGAGATGGGCAGATCTTTGAGTTGGGGTTGGGCAGCTTGTGAGTTCCAGGGCAGCCAAAGCTGCATAGTAAGACCCTGTCTCAAAAAAGAAAAAAGAAATAATAGGAAAATGAAACTTGGGGGGGGGGGGTGGTATTGAATATCTGTATCACTCGTTAGGAGAAAGAAACACTTCATCTACCCTGTTAGATTGATCGGTTCTATGTTTGAAGTTAACAAGACAGCTAGAGTTAGCTGTAATGCTGTGTGTCTTAGTAATCTGTATTATGTGTATTTTTATCACCAGGATATTTTGCTCATCAACCTCATTATAGAACATATGATTTGTGATACAGATCCTGAGCTTGGAGGAGCAGTCCAACTTATGGGCCTGCTTCGAACTTTAGTTGACCCAGAGAACATGCTAGCCACTGCCAATGTAAGCCATAGCTATTTCTTCTTTTTATAGCAATATCTTTTCTATTGCTGGTAGGAACCAATACAGTTAAAGTTCATCAAAGTATGTTTGATTCCTTAGAAAACAGAAAAGACTGAATTTCTGGGTTTCTTCTACAAGCACTGTATGCATGTTCTCACTGCTCCCTTACTAGCAAATACAACAGAAGACAAGCCTAGTAAAGGTAAGATAATACAGGTTTGTAGCTTTCTTGAATTGTCAAACTCAAAACCTGGTGTTGATTACAGTCTAGATTTAAGACATGGGGGCTAGAGAAATAATTCAGCGGTTAAGAGCACTGGCTGCTCTTCCAGAGGACCCGCTGTGGCTAAAAACAATCCGCAACTCCAATCCCATAGCATTAACACCATCTTCTGGCCTTCATGGGCACTGCATATGCATGGTGCATAGAAATATATGAGGCAAAAAAATAATGCACCTAAAATAAAAAGTCTCTATAGTTAGGGACAGAAGCAGGTGCAGCAGAATATACCCTAAAACGGAAGTAACAATTTTTAATAGATTGAAATTTAATCATGTATTTTCAAGAGATTTTTTTAAGGTGAAATTTGTTTAAAAAGCACTATAATCACAGTTTAAAAATATGCCAAAGAAACTAGTTATTTTTATATTGGGTTTTTGTTTGTGGGATTGTATGTTTGAGAGATCTTGCTATGGGATCTATGCTGGCCTCAAACATCTTCCTGTTTTAGCCTCCCCACTACGGGGGTTTCCGGTGTGTGCCATGGTACACCAAACTATTTCAATTTATTTCTTAGGACTTACACTTAAGTGTATGTATTTAAGGGATAGTTTTAGAGTCGTTATTGGGAAATTGCCATTGATGCTCTATTTAGGAATCCATACATTATTTTCCCTTATAAATTCACAATTTAGTATGTTTAATTTAAAGCATACTAGTATTATTCATGGCATTAATAGAAACTGTAATGGTGTTAATGTACTGTTGTGAAAAATGTTTATTCTTTTTTTTTTTTTTTTTTTTTTTTTTTTTTTTCCTTCTTGAGAGAGTTTCTTTACATAGCCCTGGCTGTTTTAGAACTCACTGTGTAGACCAGGCTGGCCTTGAACATAGAGACATCCACAGGCCTCTGCCTCCCAAATGGTAGGATTAAAGGTGTGTTTCTGTGTTCAACAAGTTAGATAAGTCTTGTGCAACCCTCAAAGTCAAATTTTGAAATGTTATTTTTCTTCTTTCTATATTTGTATTTGGTAAAATTTGAAGTCTGTTTCCAAATTCACACCTTCAAGCCACCTAGCATTTACTAAGAACTTGTAGAAGGAATTACGCCATAATCTTATGGGGACTATGTGATAAGAATGAAAAAAATAAGATACTTGGAGAGACTTGTTGGCTTTAAAGAGTAAATATTTATCAGTAAATACAGTATAAGCATACTGTGTGTTGTGAAGAAAACACAGCACAATGAAAAAAATGGAAGAAGATACAGCAAAATTACTCTAAAGAAAGGGTGTGTAGTGTGGCTTATACTGTTTACTGTCTGTTCAGTATACATATGACCATGTTTTGCTTATTCTAGATGATTTTCAAACTGCACAGTTACTGGCACTTGTATTGGAATTGCTAACATTTTGTGTGGAGCACCATACCTACCACATAAAGAACTATATTATCAACAAGGACATCCTTCGCAGAGTGCTAGTTCTAATGGCCTCCAAGCATGCTTTCTTAGCATTATGTAAGTGCTTCTTAAAGAATTATTATCTTTCTGTATTATCCTGTTCATAGCTTTAAAGCTCATTGCTGAGAACATCACTGACTTCAGGATTGAGTCCTCAGGGGACCTAGCATCTTAGTACTAAGCTCTGTGCCCTGTGACGTAGTTTGGCAGGTATTCATACAAAGTGGAATGACTAGAAGGTATCTTCCAATTCAAGTGGTAAGTAATTAGTTTCACCGATACTACCAGTTACCTATCTTTTGTATAACTTAAAAGATGATTTTAAAGAGTGGCTTAATAAAAGAAAAACAAATAATACTACAGAGACCATATATGTCCCACAGGGCCTGAAATATGTACATGTGAACCTTATGGAGAAAGTTAGTGAACTATTTCATAGCTACAGATAGTTTTGTTTTGTTTGTGTACATATGTGTGTGATTTGTTTTTTATTATTTTATCTTTTTATCAGTACTCTTTCTGCAGCCCAAATTGTCTTTATGCTCACCGCAATCCTCATGCCTCAACTACCCAAGTCCTGAGGTTATAGGTGCAAACTACCATTCCTAGCTTTACACGTAGTAATGTGGGGGGAGGGTGCTAAGGAATTGAGCCCAATACCTTGACCACTATACTACACCCCTAGCCCAAAAAGCAATAGAAAAAATTTTTAACAGGATTCTCTTTCTTTTCTTTCTTTCTTTTTTTCTTTCTTCCTTTCTTTCTTTCTAGATTAACCTTAGCTATAATTTTTTTTGTTTTAAGCTGACATTCACAGTGTTAAGATCTCAGTTTATTATAGTAAAACATACTTTTGAATAGAAATAGTTTATTCCTTGGCCATGGTGGTGTACTCCATCAATCCTAACACTAGGGAGGCAGGGGCAGGAGAATATCTGTGAGCTTGAGACCACCTTGGTCTCCAGGACAGCCAGAGCTGTTATGGAAAAACATAGAAAACCGAAAACCTGTCTTGAAAAAACCAAAAAAAAAAAAAAAAAAAAAAGTTATTGGACTGGAGAGATGGCTCAGTGGTTAAGAGCACTGGCTGCTCTTAACCTAAGCCAAGAGGTCATAAGTTCGATTCCCAGCACCCATCTGTTATGAGATCTGATGCCCCTTCTGTTGTGCAAGCATACACGCAGAGCACTAATATACATGAAATACATAAATATTTCGAAAGAAAGAAATAGGTTAATCCATAGTGCTATGGTCATGCTGTAGCCAGACTCCTTAGGTAATAAGTTTGCATATCTAAACTATAGTTATTGGTTAGTTGACTGACCAAGTTTAGAGATAGTGGAGGCTGAGATAATGCCAAGTAACTTGCCAGTTGACTTTTAAAGGTAAGTCAGATTTTGTTGTACTGTTTTAAGGCTTTGTGTTTTAAGTTTGCACTTGTCAATGTTTCTTTACTTGACACATATGTGATGAATTCGTGTGTTTGGAATATATCTTTTTACATCCTGAAGAGACTATTGGGTTCATTTACTTTCCACTGAACACTGAGAATACTAAATGTTACTTTAGTCATAAAACTTCTGTATTATTGATGAGACTAAGGATGTTAGCTCAGCACATAACAAAGAATGGCTTTAGGGGGCTAGAAAGATGAAAGAACACTGAATGGTCTTCCAGAGGACCTGAGTTTGATTGCTAGCACCCACGTGGCATAACATTCTATTCTCCAGGTTCAGAGCCATCTGATGCCCTCTTCTGTCCTCGACAGGTATCAAGGACACACATGGTAGATAGGCATACATGCAGACAGAATACGATACACTAAAAACATTTCTCCATATATTTATCATAGGAGAGGTGATAGTACCAAGACCATGTTCTTTTGAGTCACCATAAAAAGTCTTGTCTGTATATGTAGGGAAAAGAAATTTGGAAATGGAAAAGAAAAACTGAATACATAGATTAAGTTTAAATAGTTTTATTTCAACAAAGAAAATCGCTGGATACGGTGACTCTGGTACTTCAAAGGCAGCCCAATGTCTATGAATTCAAAGCTAGCCATTGCTACAGAAAGAGACCCTGTCTCCAAGAATTAAAAAAAAAGAAAAGAGATTAAACACAAACTATTATATTTCATTGAATCTGAGATGCACATCTTTATTTTATTTATCATCTCAAACTAAGGTAAGTCTTAAAGTTGATGACATGCTGTTTATAATTTGTAGTTTTGTTTTCATTGTTTTATTAGGGGAGTGTAATATGAAAATTAAAATCTAAATAAGAACTGTACTTAGAGAAACTTAGAATAATATCAGCTTATTTTAAGTGAATCATATCAGGAAGTTTTCACAGAGGTATTAATTTGAATTTTTCTTGTTCACATTCATTGAATGTGCAGTTAAGGTGTTAAGTATAGGATGGTGGTATGTTTTGCTATAGGTGGGAAACGGGTCCAAGTGAAAAGTATCAGGATGTGGAAGCTAAAAGAAAAGTCCTTTTCTTTAATTTAGGCATTCCCAGTATCTTCTCTGCTTGTAGTACTCTAAAAACAAATTTACTATAAGCCAGTAAGAATTATGTAGAAAATTATTTTTACAAGATGAAGATCATATTGGAAACTGCTATTCTATCTTAGGTATATTCTGTACGTGTTTTAACTGGAACAAGTTACTTTGAAACCTAACTCTTTACAGTGGGCCTCTATTCCCATACTTTAGATCAGAACATCTCAGACAATAGCAGTTAATAAGGACTGGCTTTAAGCTGGGTAGTGGTGGTGCACACCTTTAATCGCAGCACTCAGGAGGCAGAGGTGGGCAGATCTCTGAGAAAAGTATACATTGAAGTAAAAAGTTAGGTATGTGCCAGGTAGCGGTGGTGCATACCTTTAATCCCAGCACCCGGGAGGCAGAGACAGGCAGATCTCTGAGTTTGAGACCAGAGTGAGTTATTTCCAGGACAGGCTCCAAGACAACATAGAGAAACTCTGTCAGGGGTGGGGGATGCTATTTGAGAGAGAATTTGCACATTAAATATACTGTGTAAGGAGAAAAGACAATAATAGTTTTTAATAGTGGTTTGGGGATTTAGGAGGACACCAGATCTCAGATGATTGTTAGCCATCATGTGGTTTCTGGGAATTGAACTCAGGACTTCTAGGAGAGCAGCCAATGTTCTTAACCTTTGAGCCATCTCTCCAGCCCCCAGAGTTTTATGTTTTTGTTTTTGTTTTTTTTGAGACAGGGTTTCTCTGTAGCTTTGGAGCCTGCCCTGGAACTAGCTCTTGCAGACCAGGCTGACCTCGAATTCACAGAGATCCCCCTGCCTCTGCCTCCCGAGTGCTGGGATTAAAGGCGTGTGCTACCACTGCTCGGCCTGGAGTTTTATATTTTTAATTAGTGTTTATCATTTTTAAATAAGCAAGTCTTTAGATAAGGCCTACACTCCTTTCAAAAATGAGTACAAGATAGATAACAAGTTTTATTACTCTATTGACTGCCTTTTTAAGACTTTGGGTACTTTTATGTTGACTAGGTAGTGTTGTTAAGAAGTATTGCCGGGGGCTGGAGAGGTGGCTCAGAGGTTAAGAGCACTGCCTCCTCTTCCAGAGTTCCTGAGTTCAATTCCCAGCAACCACATGGTGGCTCACAACCATCTGTACTGAGATCTGGCGCCCTCCTCTGGCGTGTGGGCATACATCGAGGCAGAATGTTGTATACATAATAAATAAATAAATCTTTAAAAAAAAAAAAAAAAGTATTGCCGGGCGGTGGTGGCGCAAAGCTAGTTCCAGGGCAGGCTCCAAAGCCACAGAGAAACCCTGTCTCGAAAAAACCAAAAAAAAAAAAAAAAACAAGTATTGCATTCAGGCTGGGGAGATGGATTGGTGGGTAGAGGCGGCTTGCTGCTAAGTTTTATCCCTTGGTAGGAGAGGACCAACTCCTAAAAGCTGTCATCTGACCTCCAAATGTGAGCCATCACACATATATTCCCTCTCCCACACATACTAAATGGAGAACAGAAACAGAAATCCATAAAAAGAATGGATTTCTTTTAAAGCGTTATTGTAGGGTCAGAGGTAGAGTGGTTATCTGGCATGCTAGCATAGAAAGACCCTGCCTTCAATTTCTAGCATCAATAGGAAGGAGGGGCAAATAGAGCTTTGCTACAAAGCTTCAATTATTACTTTCACATGTGATGATGAGTTTCAAACTTACTCCATGAAATCTTGTATCATGTACTACAAAAAAGTGTCATCAAAACTGAACACAGGATTCCTGGCCTGTTCTAATGAAGATTAGCACTGTTATGAGTGGAACCAGAGTGCGCATTATGTTGAAAATGCTGTGGTTGTGCCAATTGTGCATAGCTGGGAGCTTTCTCTACCCTTTTTTGAATGACTGAACTTTAGAATTGACTGGTAAAATATGGAAAACAGCCAGGTGATGGTGGCACACACTCGGAGGCGGAGACAAGTGCATCTCTGTGAGTATGAAGCCAGCCTGGTCTGTAACTCGAGTTCCAGAACAGGCTCCCAAAGCTACAGAGAAACTATCTCGAAAAACAGACCAACAAAGGCAGAAAGTAACTTGCTATTTAGTAGCAAAGAATAGTAATATTTGGATATTTTTGATGCAGGGCTGCTTGGGGAGGGGGTGATTTGAAAGGAATAATTATTGATGTACATCAGGGCAAATCCTGGCCTTACTGAATTCTGGGAAGGTAGGAGATTATTTTCCCATACCTAGGAATTGCGTGTATATTAGTATCGTGGTTAATGTGATGTTTTGATAGGACACAAGTCTCCACAAAGCCTGTAGAGTTAGATTACCAAACCTTAGAATAACTAGGTTTTGCTTTTGAACGTTTAAAATTTACTAGCATAATTTTTGAGTGTTGATTTTTTTTTTTTTTTTTATCTAAAGTGGAACTGTCTCACTTAAGTTCTTTTGCCAGCTACACAAAACAAGAGAAATCTCTGTTTTAGAAATAAGCCCTTGTCAGGCCTTCATTCACCACACTGAACAATGCCTCTTAGTGTTTAAAATGTCTTCACCATACTTAAGTTTTTAAATTTTTTCAGTAGATTAAAAATAAAACGCAGTTATTACTCTTTAAACTATTTTGAAACTCCCTGCCCAGAGTGTTTCTTTATGAAGATACACTCTTAAATAAGTTGGATTGTTAGGGCAGTTTCTAACCAACTGTACCTAATTGGGCATTCACTTGTGGACCTCTTTGTGCCAACTAAAGAAAAATTGAGCTGCTTTACTCCTCTGCCTTCCCACCCAGAAACCGTGTCAGCATGGTTGCCTGGCTACCTGCTCATGAAGGACTTGATTAATAACAAATTGGCAATTTAACGAGCCACTTCCATGATCTCCAAAGAAACCAAAATACAAACACAATATTTAATCTTGCCAACCGAAGACGATGTGACTGCGTGAAGTGAGTATGCTTTTTTGAACTGTTTACAGTAATTGGGGCATTAACTTACTGATAATTCCATAGGTTCAAGGGCTCTGCTGAAGTCTAGCTGTCTGAGTGTATTTGGATCTTGATGAATGGTGACTTAAGTAACTCCCCATACCTCAAGATGCAAATATATATCTGCTAATCTGTAAGTTAAAGCCTAATTTATTATTAAAAGGAAAACTAAGGGAAAATTCAAAAGCATACTCGCTGCAATGAGAGTAGAGGACCGAATTTTAAAACAACTAAATTTATATCTGAACCATGGGAAGGCAATTTTGGGGGCATGCGGATTTTTGTGATTTGTTGTCTTTTTTTTTTTAACCACATCTACAAATAATCCAGTATAGATCCATGAAGTCTATAAAATACTAAGGGTCCAAAAATTTTAAGATCAAATTACAATACAGTGGATTGCCCTAAAAAAGACAGTGCTTTTTTTTTTGTTGATTTTAAAATGCATTCAAAGGGGTATGATTAAAAAAAATTGATTGTCCCCTTAGTAATAAGATAATTCAGTCCTTACATTTTGACTGATAGTGAGTGATATATTCCCAGAACTTTCTGGCTTTCTAAGACTTGTGTTCTATGATAACATACACTACCTTTGTTTGTGTGGGGGGCGGGTAACAGACAGGGTCTCACATCATAGCCCAGGGTATCCTAAATCTCAAATAGGTAGCCTCCACTGGCCTTGAACTCTAAGTAGTCCTCTTACCTCAGCCTCCCAAGTGTTGGGATTATAGGCATGAATCACACACCCTACCAACATATATTGTTTGAGAATGTTTTTTCTTACAGCACTCTTAAAATCCCTGTGCTCAGGTTCACATACCTGCACACAGGTAAGAATGGAGACTACTGGTGTCTGTTGATAAGTTCTGATGTTTGTTTATTCTGAGATGTAGAACATTAAACAGTAATGCCTCTGTCTTTCAGGTGCCCTCCGATTTAAGAGAAAAATCATTGGATTAAAAGATGAATTTTATAACCGCTACATAATGAAAAGTTTTTTATTTGAACCTGTAGTCAAAGCGTTTCTCAACAATGGATCTCGTTACAATCTGATGAACTCTGCCATAATAGAAATGTTTGAATTTATTAGAGTGGTAGGTCCTGTCTTCTTATATTAGGATTTTGGTTTTAATTTGAGAAACACGAGTATTCTGTCCTTTGTCTTGAGGATGTGGAGATTTTTCTTTGAGAACAATGCTACTGGTCTAGAGAGATGGCTCAGAGGTTAAGAGTACTGGCTGCTCTTCCAGAGATACTAAGTTCCATTCCCAGCAACCACATGGTGGCTCACAGCCATCTATAATGAGATCTGGTGCCCTCTTCTGGCTTATAGGCATATATGCGGGCACAACACTATGTATAATTTTAAGAAAAAAAAAAGAACCATGCTACCAAAAACCTAAAATTAATTCAATTCAGATCAATTAAAAAAAATGTGCACAAGTATCTGGCATTTTTTAAGACCTGAGATAAATATGCTGGGTGTGGTGACTCTGTAATCCTAGTACTCAGACCCTGTCTCAAGCCAAAGAAAGAATAATGATAAGATATACAGAACTTCAAATGTTTATCATTTTCATTCTAAAATATATCCTCTTTGGGTAGTATTTTATGTTACTGCACAACTTCCACTGAAGTTTACTGTAGACTTTTTCTGTTTTTTAGTATGTTTTTGAGATTAGGGAGGGCCTTGCTCTACAGTTCAGGCTGACCTCAATCTCATGACCATTCTCCTGCCTCAGGCCTTATAAGTGCTGTGATTACAGCTGTGTGCCATTGTGTCCAGTCTTGGTAAGCCAGAATCACTAGAGTAGGGCTTGGACATACACTTTGGGAACACCTATTAACAATTCCGAGATACACCAAAAGACTATTGAAGGAGCCAGTATAGTATACTATTGTTTTTACTGTTTGATTATTTTTTAAATTATATGGTAACTTTATGTAATTAAATTTTTGTGAATCTTAGGAATTACCACAGTAATGCTTCATTTTATCTTGTTAAAGTGGTTTTTTTTATTTCATTATAATTCTTTCCTGTAGGAAGATATAAAATCATTAACTGCCCATGTAATTGAAAATTATTGGAAAGCACTAGAAGATGTAGATTATGTGCAGACTTTTAAAGGATTAAAATTGAGGTTTGAACAACAAAGAGAAAGGCAAGACAACCCTAAACTTGACAGGTAAGTTACTACATGCTTGAATATGTTCTTCATTTGGCAGTAGATTGTGTGGTGATCATTTTCTTGGTTCTTGGCAGTATTTGATTTGGCCATTGAAAGAAGAGAAGACATGCACAAAAATTTTGAGGAGTGAAGGCCTTTCCGTTGTCTTTTTCTTCAACACTTTTACTTTATGCATACATGTGTCACCACACACATGTACACCATTATGGGGAGGTGGGAATAATTGTCTCAGGACAACTTACAGTAGCTGATTCTCTTCCATCATGTGGGTTCTGGGACTCAATACTTGGCAGAACACACCTTTACTCTGGCAACCCTGTACTAGTTTTGCTTGTTTGCTTCTGAAAGTGTAGTTGAATTATAAGATTTTAGATACCAAAATAAACTGATACAGCAGTGAGGTTTCATATGGTCAGAATATTATCTTAATTGGTTTTTTATGTATAGATTATTTAAAATATCATCCATATACCTTCCTAAATAACTGGATTCACTCTTGTAGTATGGGTTGTTGAGGGGGAGGGGGTGCTCCCCATTTCTTTCTTTCTTTTTTTTTTTTTTTTTGGTTTTTCAAGACAGGATTTCTCTATGTAACAGTTCTGGAACTTGGTTTGTAGACTAGGTTGTCCTTAAACCCACAGATCTGCCTGCCTTCTGCCTTCTGGAATTAAAAGCGTCCACCACCACCTCCCAACTCCATTAATTTCTTAATATATATATATGGTTTGTCTGCATGTATATCTTTGTACCTACTTGGTACATGCCTGATAGCCACCGAGGACAGAAGTGGTTCGCACCGCTTAGTAGCCGTACTTGTAAGGGAGATTTAAAAACGACTCAGAAAAGAGCAAACCACACAGGCAGAGACCACGCGGGCCTTTGGAGTTTAAATCCACGTGGAGAGGCAGATGATAGGGTGCGTGGGGACTTGAAGTCAATCTGAGGTGAGGTGTCTAAAGGACTGAGGTGTATAAAGAACTGCAGCAAGAAAAGCCAGTGCGTGATAATTTATATTAAACTGTTGGCTCCATGCACAAGGCACAGGCCACAAGGCCGCCGCAAGGCACAGCGGGGAAGAAGAGGTCCTAAAAGCCAAACGTTCGGGCACCAGATGAAGGCGTAAGTCACGAACAATGCCACACCAGTTTGGAATTATGATTAATAGGGTGGTATTTATTTAAAGAGGAAAAAACTTACAGATCACCGTCCCAGACAACAGCCCTCTGCGCAACCAGGGAGTCTAGTTGCTGGCGGAGCAGGAAATGAAGAGAGCTAGCTGAGGAAATAGCCCCTTTTTTAAAGGGCGAGAGACCACGCCCCAATGGGCTGGTATCTCAGCGGCTATTGGCTGGAGGAGCGGAAGGACCTCCCGCAACAGGACTGGAGATACAAATGGTTGTGAGCTGCTGTTGTATGCTGGGAATGAATACAGGTCCTAACTACTGTGCTATCTCTAGCCTTTGTAGTATGGATTATAATTCTCGAGGTTAACAAGTATAATAATTGAGCTATAACAGTTATAAAAATAGGAAATTTGATTCTACTAGATTTGATAGGGTCTGTCTTATAATTGTGTTTTTGTTCCCATGTTGTTTGGTATTTGGTTTGGTGGTGTCAGGGATTAGGCCTAGTCCCTTGTTTACCTCAGTCCCTTACGACCTTCCATTTTCTCATAGCATGCGGTCCATCTTGAGGAATCATCGATATCGACGAGATGCCAGAACACTAGAAGATGAAGAAGAGATGTGGTTCAACACAGATGAAGATGACATGGAAGATGGAGAGGCTGTGGTGTCTCCATCTGACAAAACTAAGAATGATGATGATATCATGGATCCAATAAGTAAATTCATGGAAAGGAAGAAATGTATGTTGAAACAGTGGGCAAGGGAAAATCCAGGTCTTTTCTTTACTTCTTGAGGAAATGATTAGTATCTACTCAGTATACAATGGCAGTTCCAAAGTCTACAGGACATGGCTGAATTGATGACTATGTGAAGGCGTAGGCTGAGTTTTCCTAGTTTAAGGAAAATAGTTTGGTGGAAGATACAAATACTAAATGTGATACCAAAGGTCATACTTCTGCACTGTAAAATTTGCTGCATTTCCAGGACAGCCACCAAATCTACAGAGAAACCTTATTTCGAAAAACAACAAAAAAAAAATGCTGCATAATCGCAATTAATACTTGGATAGGCTTCACTCATAGATTGGAACAGAGTTGCTCCTATGCAAAAAAAAAAAAAAATCTGGTTAATGATCTTTTAGTGTCACTTCGTTTGGAGGAATTCAGAAAAAAATGAATGACAACTATTTTACGCTCTCCTTTTTAGTGAAAGAAAGTGAAGAAAAGGAGGTGCTTCTGAAAACTAATCTTTCTGGACGACAGAGCCCAAGTTTCAAACTTTCGCTGTCCAGTGGGACAAAGACTAACCTCAGCAGCCAGTCATCGGCAGCAAGCCTGCCTGGCTCTCCAGGGTCACCTGGATCCCCAGGCTCTCCAGGCTCTCCTGGATCCGTCCCTAAGAGTACATCTCAGACGGCAGCTATTACCACAAAGGTACACTTCTCACTTCCCACATGCCCCTCTCTACTGTGCTTTAAGGTTTCTCAGTGGTCAGTGTGTCTGGGTTTTAGCTCTGGTTCTCTTTTCTATAGCTTGCTAAATGCTGTAAACTAGGTGAGACTTCATTACAACCACTACCTGAACTCACCTCATGTGGTCCAATGTAAAATTTAGTCTGTCTTTGGTGTTTTTCACTTGTGAACTGTAACTTTTATTACCTTTCCCAATTAGAGCCCATGTGAAAACTTGGGAGCGGAAGCAAAAGTTTTTGTTTTTTAGTTTTATTTTGTTTTCTTTACTATAACTATCCATTATCACTAACATTTCATATAAGGAATAAAATTTTGATACAAAATATGTAGACGACATCTCACTGTTTTGACCCCTTTTTTTCAGGCTGGCCTCAATCTCAACAGAGATCCACCTGCCTCTGTATCCTGAGTGCTGGGATTAAAGGCGTGTGCCACCATTGCCTGGTTCTTAGACAATATCTCTTTTTAAGAAAAACATTCACCCAACACAGATAAAAGTAATAGCTATTAGAACAAACTAAGACTGGCATAATGCCAGGCTAATTCATAGTACCATCCAATCTCTTCTTTTGTTTCTTTTTTTAAAATGTTTGTGCCAGGCAATGGTGGTGCATGTCTTTAATCCCAGCACTTGGAAGGCAGAGGCAGGCATGAGTTCAAGGCCAGCCTGATCTGCAAAGCAAGTTACAGGACAGCCAGAGCTATTACACAGAGAAACCTGTCTCATTAAAGTGTAAAACACGTGTGGGTGTGTGTGTGTACATCACAGCATGTATGGGGGGTCAGAACACAACTTGCAGAAATCAGCTCTCCCAGCATGTGTGGGACCCAGGGATCAAGCTTAGGTCAGAAAGCCCTCTGTATGTAGCACAATTAAAAACCCAGGGAAAGAAATTGGCGTTCAACCTAAAGGTCAGAAAAGCAAAACAGCCAGCCATTGGCTCTACCTCAATCTGAAATAGCTATCCTGTCTCAAGGAATCTCAGAATGAGACTGTGTCTGAGGACTGTCTCCTCTTTCTTATATTCCTTTCTAGAGCTGAGATTAAAGGCATGCACCACTGCCACCCAATTTCTATAGCAGACTAGTATAGCTACTGGGATTAACGGTGTGTGTCACCATTGCTTGGTCTGTAAGACCGAGCAGTGGGACTGTTTTACTATCTGATCTTCAGGCAAGCTTTATTTATTAAAAAACAAATGAAATATCACTACAGTCCCCTTAACTTGCTGTGCCATCTCACTGGTCTCATCTGACCCTGGCAGGAGATCCCTCAGGGCTAAGGGTGAGTCAGAAATGTTGAAATGCAGCATGCGCTCAGAGCAAAACACTATGAATTTTCATAGGCATTCAAGTTGTATGGTAGTAGCTTATGGCAGAAAAGCAGGCTAAAAAGAAAATCCAGAAGAGAGGACAGAGAGATAGTAGAACTATTTTCCTATCTGCCTTCATTTTGAGTGATCTGTCTTCTGCATTTTGATACCATTTTATACTATATATTTTGAAGAAAATTTGAGCCAGACATTGTAGTGCAGGCTGATAATCCTAGCTACTTTGGAAACTAAGAAAGGAAAATTGCTAGTTCAGGGCCTGCCTGGGCAACTTAAGTGATACCCTGGCTCAAAAAATAAAATGAAGGCTGAGTAGGTAGTAGTCGTAGAACCCTTGGTTTGAGATGTTTGAAGCCCTAGATTCAATATTCAGCATCACTTTTAAAAAATGAAATTTTATACGGTTAGTCAGGCCATTTTTCGGTAGTATTTGTTTCCTGGGTGCTTTTCTAGTAGTGTATATTTTTTTGCTGTTTTAATTTTTAGGAGCTTAAAACAACCTTCCAAAAATATGAACATTTAAAATACATATAAAAATAATTAATGAACTTCAATATCCTGCCATTAGACTTACACTTTTTCTGTGCTTAACACAGGTATTTTCAAATGCAGTATTCTGTTTGTTTGTTTGTTTGTTTGTTTTTTCCTTTAAATAACCCTTATTTCTGAACAGGGAGGACTCGTGGGTCTGGTAGATTATCCCGATGATGATGAAGATGATGATGAGGATGAAGACAAAGAAGACACGCTACCGTTGTCAAAGAAAGCAAAATTTGAGTCCTAATAATAGCAACTGCCTGTGATCAGTACCTGTTGACAAAACTGGTTCTTACCCCTCCCCCCTACAACATCCACATCAAAGCGCAGTAGTCTCTTGTGAGTGACTGACACAAATCAGCAGCACACTGGACTTCTGCTCATCAAGTGCCAATTCAATGGAGCAGGAGGAGGGGGATGCTGTGCAGTTAGGGGAAGACATAAGCCTGTGAGCTCTCCAGCTTGGACCACACATTGCCCTTTTCTCAGGGAAGGAAATGGAAATAAAAAGCCAACAGGGCAGGGGTTTTGTCAGTGGAACTCTGGATTGACTGGTCGGTTGCTACAATCAAAACTTGCTTTCTTGGACCATGTTTGAGACTTAGAAGAATGGGTCTTTCTGCCATAGTTCCTCACTAGTAAAGAATGCCAGCAGTTTCTTTGTATAAAGAGACCTGCCTTTAAAATCGTACATTCTGAACATTTTAGTCAAGCTACAACAGGTTTGGAAAACCTCTGTGGGGGAGGGGCAAAATAAAATATCCTCTTTTTTTTAAATCTGTTCCCTTTGCCCTTCAAACTGCAGATTTTTTTTTTTTTAAGGTGGGGATTTGTCCCTACTTGATTAAAGATTGAGTGGAATTCTAGATGTGGTCATTTGTGTCATACTTTTTCTTTTTGTTTCAGTTTGTTTTGTTTTTCTCCCCTGAGTGTATGATTAGTTGTTGAATATATATATTTGGGACCATTAAAACATTTTTGATGTAATATAGCCTAACGTGCTGGCACCTGCTTTACATGTGTAATTTGTGTTCTACATCACAGTTCTTAATTTGTTTAGAGTTTTATGAAAGATGGTATAGTTTTTATTGACAAAAGCAAAGTAATCTTACAACTATGTGCATAAAAAAGCAATACTATTTTGTGACTAAATATTTTATATTAAAATTTGCATCAGCAGCTGTCTTGAGATTTCAGGGAAATAGAGTGGAATTTAAAACTTCGACAGTTTTGTTAAACCTAGAAACATGAAATTAGTATTCCAAAGAGATTCAGAAATTTCGTATCTTGGAGAAATGACGGTACATTAAATCAAAATTGAGGATGGATGATTTAAAAGTAATACTTGACTTTTGAATAATAAAAAGAAAAGTGAAGAGTAAGAGAAATTGTATTAATTGTTTCTTTTCTTTCTTTCATTTTTTAACATATGCCCTTTGGAATACCAGTTTAAGCTGTAAATGGTAATAAACACCTAATGACCATTAGGTGGCACCTGATTAAAACAGTGTTTTGGGGTCTGGGGATGTCGCTTAGTGGTAGAGTGGGTTGGGGCAATTTCCATTTTTAGCTCCATTACCACCCAAAAAATATATTCTTGAAAAGAGTCTTTATTGTTAGACATACTAAGATGATTTCAAGGAAATTAAAATGTTCCAGAAACCTCACTTTTTTAAGGTGAAAAATGAAACTTTATAGTTCTGAATGAGTAAAATTTCATACCCAGGAGAAGACACAGTGTGGGTATACTTTGAGTACCCAACCAAGCACTTAGTGCTTGTCTTTGCTGCTTATTCCTCAGTAACAACGGGAACTTATATGCGGGACATGGTAGTGAGTGTAATCCCAGCACTTGGGAAGCTGGGGCAGATGAATCTTTGAGTTTGAGGCAACACTGTCTTAAAAAATAAAAAAGAAGAAACTTTAGAGTATAATAAACTACAAAAGGTAAATTCATTTCGCTATAAATCTTTTTTAAAAAGATTTGTATTTTATCCAGATGGTTGTGGCATGCTCCTTTAATCCCAGCACTGAGGAGGCAGAGGGAGTTGGATCTCTGAGTTCTAGGCCACCCTGGTCTACAGAGTGAGACAAGACAGTCAGGGCTGTTATACAAAGAAACTGTCTCAAAAAAACAAAAATTTATTTTATACTGATGTGTGTTTGCCTCACGTATGTATATGTACCACATGTCTGCAGTGCCTGGGAAGGGTAGAAGTTGGATGGGTCCTCTGGAACTGGAGTTACAGATGGTTGTGAGCCCAGCAAGTGGATACTGGGAACCAAATCCTGGTCATCTGTAAAAGCAAACATTGAGTGTAACCTCTAAGCCTCTCTCCAGCCCCCCTTTTTAACTTTTGACATAGGCTCTAGCTCTATAGCTCCAGCTGGCTTAGAACTTATTATGTAGACCAAGCTGGCCTTAAACTAGCTAGCAGCAGTCCTGGCTCTTGTGAATTGCTTTCCACCAACATGCAGTTAGAGCTACTTCTGAGGCAGAAATTCTGGCTGTTAACCGTTGAAGTTAATGCCTATCTTGTTTTGTTGTTGTATTTTATATTTTTGAGCGGGTCTCTAGGAATCCTTGCCTGCTCGGAACTCACTATGTAAACCGGAGTCAACAGAGGTGCCTCTGCCAAAAAAAAGAGTGCTATGTGCCACCATGCCTGAATCAACTTATTTATACAGAGAGGGGAAAAAAGGTCTAAGTCAATACTGTCTTTACTATTACTTAGAACATTTTGCATCAACTAATGATGGTGGCTTAAACATTTTTTAAACATCTCTAGCCAAACTCAAAATCCTTCTGACTTTTCAGAATTATTCTTGGAACACTTGCTTTGATATTCTAGAAATGCTTGGGCAGAGGACAGACTCATCACTTCATAAATCATCCAGTTATTTTAAAGAAATCTGTGTTAGCCTTTGGTCATGCTTTTTAGATTATTGCTTTCTTCGCTCTTAGTGCAAATGAAGGTTTGCTATTATAAGTTAAAAAGAGCTTCTGGGAGACCTACCATTAGCCAAAAGTTACTAGATATTCAGCCCTCGAGTTGACAGTTTAAAAGGCCACAGTATTTATGTTCTGGCAATTCAGCCCTGGACTCCAGTACCCTCAGCACATGCAGTACTGCTGAGCTACACACCTACCCCAAGTTCACACTCCTAAGCCCAAGTCTTGGTAGCTGGTATAAATATATAAAATATTTTCACCTTAATGATACCAATGAGTTCTTTTGCTCATTTTATAGTGTTTGCAATGAAGAAAAAGAACTTGAAGTGATGAAAGCTCTATAATCCAGAAAACATTTTGCCATCCACTCTTCTACAAAGCTACCCTTGGAGTTTTCAATGGATTATGATTAGTTACCATTTCTTGCCCAGTTGTACTCAGATCCTATATGTAATTACATCAGAATATCCCCCAGATCTTTCTGTCCATTGCCCAGACACCCTGTTTATTCCTTGACAGAAAGTTCTATCTTGTTTTTACTTTATATCTGCAACACCCAGACCATGTAGCCTACCTACATGGGACTCTGGAAATGCTGAGTACAGAAAAGACCACCTGTGCTCACTGCAAACTGATGGCTTTCATAGTTAACAGTTTACTTAACCATTAATTTCCCCTTTTAGTGGATAGACATAGAGGGCTCTAAACCTCTTTAATCTTAATCTTCAGGGAAATTTTACGAAACTAGAACTCTTTAACTTACTGCTGTTGTTAATGTGTTGAGAAGTCTTAATAACTCTTCCTGGATATGATGCCCCTTTAATTCCAGGAGCAGAGGAAGGCTGATCTCTTTGAAGCCAGTCTGGTCTAAAAAGCAAGTTCCAGGGCTACACAGAGGAGTTTTGTGTAGGGGAAGGGGGTAATAATTACTAAAATCTAATCTTTTCTGGCCCCGCCCTCTCTGTCTCTGGGGAGTGTGGAGCAAGTACAGTTAAGGTTTCTATTAAACTGCTGTGTAAGTTCACATAGCAAAGGATGGCCTTGATTGCCTATCCTGCCTTCATCTCCCATTTGTGTGTGCCACCATACCCAACAGACTAGGAATGATGCAACTCAGGCTGGCCTGGACGTTGGGATCCTCCTGCCTCATCCTATGGCTTTTTTCCTCCTGTGCATGCCTCTCGAGTCGGCCTCCCATTGTTTTGCTCAGGTTCAAATGGCTGGAACTTCAAACATGTGCCCATGCACCTGACTTCTGGGTTGTTTTGAGACAAAACATTTTGACAATTTAGTCCAGGCTTAGCATTGTGTTCATGAACCTTCCTTTGTCTGGTGCCACACGTATGTCCTCCACCACAGCCCACACATATACATAAGCATCTATTAATATAGAAAGAAGATAGGTAAATTTTACCTAAAAAATGTAATTCATCCAGAAATTACTAATTTGTATGCTCTCATAACTTAAGCACTAGAGGAAGTACAAACTGAGGGCTATAGAAGAGGGTGTATGGGATATAACTGTCCTAGTGGAATGCTACCAATGGAGGTCAGTGAGGTCTAACAGCCTCCATTATGGTCCTAATGGGGTGGCTCTGAGTAGACTTCACGTGGTAAGAATCCAGGAAAACTGGGTGTTGGGAGATTCTTGGGGTTGCTACTTGGGGAAATGAGGAAAGGTAGGAGGGCCAGAAACAATAGAGGCCAAATGATCTTTTAGGAAGTCATAGTCCCTATTGATTGGTCAGCTGACTTTATTTTAAAGATTTATTCTGTATACAGTATTCTGTCTGTGTGTATGCCTGCAGGCCAAAAGATAGCACCAGATCTCATTACAGATGGTTGTGAGCTTCCATGCCATTGCTGGGAAAGAGCAGCCTGTGCTCTTTACGGCTGAGCCATCTCTCCAGCCCCAGCTGACTCTTAAAGGACCAAGTTCTGGCTATTAAAAAGCTTGGGCAGAATGTAGGGACTGGAGATAGTTTAGTGTTACCACACTGGCCTACAATGTGGGAGACCCTGGGTGCAACCCAGGACCGCAAGAGTGCAACAGCGAGAGCATAGACGTTTTAAGTTTCTTGATCCTTACCTGTAGAAAACAACAATTGAGGGCTATAGCAAAGGGTGTGTATGAAAAGGTGTCCCAATGGCGTGCTATATTGAAGGATCAGTATTTAATACGTTTGCACTGCAAATGGTGTGTGTGTGTGTGTGTGTGTGTGTGTGTGTGTGTGTGTGTGTGTGTACTTACTTGCTTTGGGGGTTGCTTATGAGGAAAATCCAGACAAATGCTCTACCACCAAGCCAAAAACCAGCTCTGTGTGTATATATGTTTGTGTGTGTACACTCTTAGTTGTACTGGGACTTCCCAATTGGTGAACAATGATTTAGCCTCTGAGCTACATTCCCACCCCTATATTGACCTGGAGGGAGAGGACTATAAAACTTGATCTTTACCTGAAATTTTCTACTCTTAGTCATTCCAAATTAGTGCAGCAAGAATGGTATATTGATTAAAAACTAGAAATGATGGAGAAAACCTTGTAAATCTCTTTAATTGGGGTAAAGTGCCCCAACTCAACAGTTGCAGAATTCAAGAAAAGGGCATATTGAAAAGAATCTCCCAAGAATGGTGGCAGTCCACCCACCCACTAGCCACCTAATCTTTAGCCAGTCTTAAGGTAGTTCTAATGAGGTCAAGCAGCATTGAAACAAATGGCTTCTCTGCTACACCTGGTTGGGACTGTAGGGGAAAAAATATTCATGAGTTAAAAGCAGCAGCTAAATAAAGAAAAAGATTACTAAAATCAAATATATGTAAGGAATCTGGAGGAATGATGGTTCAGCAGTTAAGACCACTAGTTGCACTTCCAGAGGGCCAGGGTTCAATTCCCAGCACCCACATGGTGGCTT